CATTATAATTATGTCGTCCACACAATTATTGTCATATATATGTTGACCAAACATATAAAGAAGTTCACCACTTGTTTCAAGTGTGGAAACAGTTAATTTCCCACACACTAAAGTGGAGACCCCTTTTTCAAAAATAGTAATAATAATAATTACAACAATCTTTTAATTAAATTCATTTTTTTAATTATTATTATTATTATTATTATTATTATTATTATTATTATTATTATTATTATTATTATTATTATTATTATTATTATTATTATTATTATTATTATTATTGCTTCTTGGTGTTTGTTTGCATTTGAATTAGAAGATTTGGGGTTGAGAGATGGTTATTAAGATATATTGTGTCCAATGTAACATGACATATTCAAGATTCAAGATGGTGATTTTTAATTTATTTATCCAATTATATCATTACATCTTAAATATGGAAAATAAAATGGTAGTTTTAAATTGACTAGTGACAAAATATTAATTAAAATAAATTTTATGTTTTGAAGTTTTGGTGCTTGGTTAATTTATTTTTTTTTATGTTCATTTTAAGCATAAAATTTAAAAACACGTCGAAAATATCATTTTGTATTTGTTTTAACTTATATTGATTTCCACAATTATATTTTATTTATGAGAGACTCCTCTAATATTTTTGAACTAATATTGATAAGATATTTTAATTTAAATTATTTTACATATATAAAGCGAGAATTTAAGTGAAAGAGTTAGTGATGTTAATTTAAATAAAAGATTTTATTTGAGTTATTTTAATAGTAATATTGTTTAAAATTTTGAATAATTTTTAAAATTTTAACTATTATTTATATTTAAGAGACGCTAATGGAGCTTATTCATCCAATATTATGATACTTTTTCATTCATATTATACAACCAACATGATATAAAATTTTATTCAATTGATAAATAGTTTTATTATTTTAAAATTAATATTGGTATATATATAATTGTTTTAATTATAGCGTAAAATATATATTTATTTATGCATGCAATATTGATATTAAATCAAAACTCATCAATGAATAATTAATTTAATAAATCTTATACGAATATATGTTAACAAATAAAAAAGTTATTAATTTTTATAATACTTAATAATTTAAGTTAATTGAATATTTTATAATTTTAAATAACTTAATAGGCATGAATAGAAGTTCAAATAACTCCAGAATTATAAAAATTTAAATATAGAATCAGAAAGCACAATAATAGACACACATGAGTAAGGAGCACAAACACATAGTGCATGCTTTCATACAGATATATTAAACAATAAACAATTCAATCTCTCATTACCGTCAACAATATCAATATAATTCAATATAATTAAATATATCAATCAATAATTCTTACACGATCAAATTAACTTTAGTTTACAATTCATCCACACAATGCTAACTATCCATCACTTTCAACCGATGTCTCTCTTACTTTTACATCAAATTAACATTAATTATAATATTTTTAATATAAACTCAAATTCTCACTCAATAAAAAAAATAATCAAAATTAACTCAATATATCTATATCCAAGCAAGCCTATCCCCCAATTCATATATATAAAATAGATATGGACAAAACATCACAACATTTATTTTAAAATGTAAACTAATCAAACAAATATATATAAATCGTGAGTTTATATAAAATGTTTCTTAGAAATAAGACATCATTTAAACCTGCCCCAAGCACGTCTCTAATCATTTTCAAAAGTATGTCATTTACATGAACGTATCTATTTATTAGAAAATGATAAGGTCCCGTTACGGGATGCCACCGTTAGTGTTTTTCACCATTGGATACACTCATACATATATATATATATATATATATATATATATATTATGTTGTGTGGATAATTACGATAACCAGCACTGACGGATCCTTTCCGTCAACGGTCGGACTGTAGTAGTTTCCATATTTATTTTAGAGAGATATTACGGTCCCGTTACGGAACCATTCTGTCAGGGTTTGTAACAGTTAGATCAACTATCCACAACGGTTACATGATGATCTAACGGTTACAAATCTCAACAGAATAATTCCGTAACGGATTATTTTAATCCAAATTAATTAATTTAATCAAAAGAAACTGTCATGTACAGTAGATTCCATTCCATGCATGCATGCAAATCCCGTATGTTTTAAGTTGCAGGTAAGACTAATTAATATTAATTATTAATATACAAACACATGCGTATGCTTTTAATAAGTTGTGAAAGGTTGAAACTATAACATTAATTATATAACTTATAATATAAGCAAATTTTGTACTGCAAATCTATAAAGAAATATATATATATATATATATTATTTTCAGATTATAGAAATTAGCATGGAAAAAAAAGTGACCCCAAAATTCTGACACCAAACCAAACAAATTAAGAGCAGTGCCAGATCAAGAAAAGGGAAGAAATTGCTTTATCATTGAGGTCAAACCCCATTTATTTATTTATTTATTTTAAAAATATAATAAAAATTGTTTCTTTTTTTTTTTTCTCTTTTCCACTTTAATTTCTTTTTGACATTCGTCACATGCAAACAAGAATTTTTGCTAATATAAATCACATAAAATTATGAGAGATACAAAAAAGAAGGGGAGATCTACTACTCTGCCTATATGTGTATATATATATATGGGAGACGCTACGGTCCCGTTACGAAACCATTCCGTCGGAATTTGTAACTGTTAGATCAACTATTCCCGACGGTTACATGATGATCTAACGGTTATAAATCTGGACGGAATGGTTCCGTAACAGGACCGTAGCATTTCCTTATATATATATCCACACAACAAAAGATTATCAATTATTTTAAGCATAGAAAGAAATGTAATTAATGAAATTATAATATAGAAATATTTCCATATATGAAGCAGCAAATTAATTAAATAGCCATAAAATTAACTGTTCTTGAAAGAGACAAAAGAGACATATTATATAATTAAAAATCAACATTGAATAAATATTTATATATATATAGATAAAAAAACAAGATTGCAGATCTTTTATACTCTCTTTTAATTCTCTCCCCTGTAAAATTTGCCAGCTCTTTCTGCCACACCCCACCATTACCATCCACCTTCTCTCTCAATCTCTCCCTAGAGAGAGAGAGAGAGAGAGAGAGAGAGAGAGAGAGAGAGATGTGTCTTAATGTGGGCTGCCAATAGGATCCACAAAAACCCTGTTCAAAGATGGCAATCTCATTGTCTCTTCTTGAATTCTTCTGGCTTTCTTGAAGATGGGCTCATGGGCTGAAGATGATATGCATGATGATGACGATGACGATGACGACGACAACGACGATGATGACGTCATGGATGCCCATGAGTCATTTGACCCATCATCATCATCATAGCTCAAAATTAATGAATCCCCAAATCTACGTTTTAAAGGGTTTCTGTTGGAGATCATAAGCTCATAGCATTCATCCAATTCCTCCTATTAATTAGCATAAAATTCAAATGAGCATTTTGAAAATGAAATGAAAAGACACAAAATGTCAAAAACCATAACGGGAAATGCTACGGTGTTACGATACCATCTCGTCGGGTGTTTTGACCGTTGGATCATCTATCTTATCTAACTACACGTGGATCAAACGGTTAAAACACCCGATGGGATGGTACTGTAACGGAATGGTACCCATTAACAATGAGCCCACATGAAAACACATCTAAAGCAAGCCCATTAAAATTAAAATAAAATAAAATAAAAAAACATTACCTTGTTGATTTTGAGCACACCAAGAAGCTGGTTTTCATACACAAATGCACTGCAAGGCTTAACTTGATGGATAACATGAAGCATTGTGGCTGTAGCCAAAACTGAGGGGAGATAGCAAGAAAATCTTGGATCTGCATAAATAAATATAATTAAAAATTAAAAACACCATCAAATTTTTTACTCATCAGCTGATTTTATTTATCATCACCTGGGACAAGTGATAGAAGCAAATCTTCACAGCTCCTCAGAAATTCCCAATGAACATGGGTTTTCAATCCCAGCCGTCGGATTACATGATCAAGAAAGGAAAGTGGGGTCACTGGGTTCATTCTCCATTTTAGCCCTGAGAGCACCAAAAGCTCCATCCTCTGTACAGTCTTGGCCTCAAAATAGTATTTTGCATCCTCAACCTTACAAAAATTATACAGTATAAAGGTTCAACCTTGGAATGGGTAAAAATTGTAAGAATTAAAGGGAAATTAAAAAAAAAAAAAAGATTGAATTTTTAAGGCATATACTTGAAGATCTAGGAGCAGGGGGACATGGGTTTCCTCTACTTTCGCGGCGAGAGATAGACAGGCGACGGCGAGGAGATGGGCCGTCCACGGCTTCTCCGACTGAAAACCCACGCCGAACAAGAACCGGTCGAGGTAGTTGACGGCGAGGACGGCGGTCAACGGCGAGAACCCGTATCGGGCATTGACTTTCAGGACCCATTCCACGGCCTCTTTTCTCGCTGTGGAGAGGGTGAGACTGAGAAGGCCCGTCGTCGGGTCGGGTTCCGGTAAACGGGTTTCTCTCTCTTTGACGAAGAGGGCCTCGAGCTCGCCGTCGTCCCAGGACAAATCTTGTTCCAACAAAAGCAGAGGAAAGAGACAGAGATGATTTTCGTCGTTTTCGTTCATGTTTGTAGTGGTGTTGTTGATGAAAAAAGATTGGTTTTTTATGGCGATTTGGGCCTCGTCGTCTTCGATTTCACCCCATTTTGCTTCTTCTTCCTCGCAGTAAAGGGAATCGAGCAGGGATTTTTGTGGGTTTTGCTCGACGGCCATTTTTTTTGTGTTTAAAGATTGAATCTTTTTTTTTTTCTCGCTATTGTGCTCTGTTCATTATAGAAGAAAAGAAGCTAAAAGTAAAGTAGAAATGAAACCCATTTGAAAAAATTCTTCCATTTTTTTTTTCTTTCTTTCCTCTCTCTGAATCAATGGGGACTGTGAGAGAGAATGAGAGAGAGAGAGAGAGAGAGAGAGTGAGAGATAAAAAGGAGTGGTTTTTTCTCAGAATGGGATGTCACGCTTGTCCTTTCTTTTATGTGTACAAGTATAGTGAGTAGATATAGAGTAGACACACATTGTGTAATCCTATTGCTTAATTAAACTCATTGATAAGTATAGATTATTAATGAGTAGAAGTGTAGAACCATCAAACAAACGGAGTTGTTCTCTAACACTCTTTAGTTTAGCTCGTTAAAGTTAGAGTTCGACTCATTCATTTACTTAAACTAGTCGAGCTCGAACAACTGATTGACGAATATATCGAGTTTTCTTGCAAACAACTTTTTTTTTTTTTGGGTTTTCAAATACCGCAGCCGAGTCGAATCTTTTTTCGAACCGCTCATGTATCATTTGTTCTTGTTTTAGATCGACCTAACCATTAGACCAACATACTTTTTTTAATTTTTTTACAAATACGCATGTTTTGATAAAAGCGTGGAATTTAATTCGTTTCTGTTTAAATAATATGAGAGATCGATCCGTCTAACGATTAGGCTGTTTTATACAATAAAAAAAAAATTGTGCTCATGCAAGGCTTAGAATTTATTAAACGAGCACGAACACGAATCAAAACAATTATTAAGCAAATCGAGCCCAACCGATTTATTTATTAAACGAGCACAAACTCGAACGATACTGGGTTTGGATGGTTGAGTTTTGCGTGTTTATTGGCGGGCATAAAAATGAGAAGCGGCACACATTCCGAGCGGGGCCCCGCGAAAAGTACCTATTATGGAGGCAACATTAAGAGACACTGCTGCACAATCAAAACAAACAAATATAAATACACAAAAACCATAAGAAAATGAAAATTTTGCTGGTTGTGTGCTGTGATGGTACTATTTGTTTTGGCTAACCAAACACTGCAATAGAAAAAAAAAAATAATAATAATAAGTAATTTTATTTTATTTTTATTTCTTTTGTCTTTCTCGTGATATGTATAATAGTAAATATACTAATTACTGCTCTGCTTTTCACAAATCTTGAAAAAGCAAAATTCTAAGCTGTATATGTGCAAGGGTAAGCTGCAGTGACTCCTCGTCTTTTTTTTTTTCTACTTTTTTTTTTCCCTTTTGTTTCTTTTTCAAATAAAGAAAAATATATAAATATATTTTGGGAAATGCTACGGACCGGTTAGGTACCATCCCGTCGGGTGTTTAACCATTGGATCATCTATCTTATCTAACTACATGTAGATCCAACGATTAAAACACCAGACGGGATGATATAGTAATAAGACCGTTGTTGTTATGTGATTATTAACAACGATATAATCTATGATTAAGTGAGTAATTTGGAGTGATTTGAACGTAAAGCATGTAGGAGTGAATCAACAATGGCCCCGGTCCGAGGTGAACCGAGGTGAAGAGCCGTGATGGGCTTTTTCGTGTTACGTAATAAAGGGTTTACAGTTCGGTAATGTATCTCAAAAATCGAGAGAGCCTCACAATTGTCACAGGTCCGCTATTTATAGTAGTTTTGGGCTGAGATATTGGGATTCGTGTACTACTTTTTGGAATAAAGTAGCTTTTTATGGGCGTTTCGAGGCAGAGGGTCCCACGTAAATGATGACAGATCTTGTGGAGTAGGAGAGCCTCTCGTAGATTCCTTGTCACCTGCTTAAGGAGGTGACGACCTCGGTTCATGTTGTCCTCGGTGGGTGTTGACCTCGGTAATCGTCGGTCACTTCGGTCTTTGATGGTTCAGACCGGTTCTTTGGTGTAGATCGATGCGGTTATGATCCATGTCGGTTGAACTGTTAATCGCGTTTAACAGGATGCTTAAAACCTCTTAACAGCGTCTTGCCGAGTCGGATGATAACAACCGTAGCATTTCTCATATATTTTTCCATTATTCAATTGCCAAACATCTATAATGGAAATGGAAATGAATGAGATTGGATTATGATTTATTTTAGGTGGTACCTTTTTTTGGTACAGGGATCTTCCGGTTTCCGAATTCACAGGGAAAACCGACTAATCCGGAATCGAGCCAGGTAGGACCACAAGGGTGGCAAAGCTCTCCCTCAAGAGTTTTAGGTGGTACTTTTGAATGTTCTTTTTATGTTTGGGGTTTAACTTATTTGAGGTTGATTGGATTTTATTAATTAGATTCTAGTTGTATTTTCACTATATTTGTGAGAATCGTAAATTATTGTATTAGACTGTCTGCACGTGAGGTGAGGTGAGTCGATATCCGTCAAATAATTAACAAAAAAATACATATTTGTACTATAAAATATTATACTTTTGTTTATATTATTATTTAGAGTAAGATATTCGAGTTAAAAATATGCATATCTGTTTAGAAAAATATGGTCATCTAGATATTTTATCTGCTTTAACAACTTGTGAATAAGGTCTCTATAGTAGTTAGGTGAATTATATCATCACATGTAAAATGGTGAATAATTCTATCAACATATATTGTATAATACTTGGAAAATGCACTCCATGTACCAATTCACTTGATCCTTTCATCTTTTAAGACTTGTCAATTATATGTTCTCGTGTTCACACAAGCTAACATTACAATTTAACAATCAAACAATAATCGTGTATAACACGAGTGTTGAGTAAGAAATATAAAATAAAGTTATTTATGTTTAATACCAAACTTAATTGCAGAGCAAAAATAATATAAAAACAACATCACGAATCATAGATTTTAGCCATGCCAGTATCCGAAGCGTGAGAATCCGCCACTTAGATTCAACACGTTTTGAGTTAATATATAGTGAGGGATAGGGAGGGATTTCTTACATGAATTGATATATTTACACATGTACCAATTGTATTTATCTTTCTTCACATGTATAGTAGCAGGCCAAAAGCCCAATATGATTGGTCATTATGGTGGCAGGCCATGAGCCCAATCTTATTGGTCCAAGCCCGTCGCTGAATGGTAGAGGGGGCCATCACAGATGGCCATTTTGATTGGGCACCAGCACCCTGTCAACAATGTTAAATCTTTGACAAGACATAATAAAATGAAATGGCTTTTATAACCTCAATAGTAGGATAATTTATTTTTACCTCAATATTAATGTATATATAGATTTTTTCTCAAGGGTTCGATTTAGAGATTGGAATTTACATATATTCATTTAATCCATTTTATTTTAGCAAATTCAATTAAGATAGTAAAATACAAATTGGAGTAAGACAACAGTCCCGTTACGGAACCATATCGTTGGGGTTTGTAACAGTTAGATGCACATTCTACATTATTCTACATGTCATCTAACGGTTATAAATCTCAACAGAATGATTCCGTAACGTAACATTTTCCACAAATATGACACGACAACATGATTTATCATTCGTGCCATTTTCATTTATTGCAATCTATATATATATAATTGCTGGCATATAGAATTTAATAAAACATTTAATAAAACCTCCATTCATTTTCCCGCTCATTTTTTCAATTAATGTAGAACCGTTACATTTTACATTAATAAGGTGTAATAATAATTTTAATATAATTTATTCACTACTAACACTAATTGATTACAACTTTACATTAAATAGTATGTGGAAGTTACATACCTATAAAAAATTGTATTGCAATTTTTTTCTTTAAAATACTTTTTCTAAAATAAAATATTTTTTTTTTCTTTTTAAGCGATTTTTATCTAATAAGTTAATTGGCATGAGTGTAATAATTAAACACCTTAAAATCACATAAACAAATGCTATAACAATGATAAAAATAATTGTAATACTTTTTAACTAATTAATTGTATGGTCTCTCTAAATTACTAAATTATATTAGCCATTAAAATTTATGGCATCAATATAAAGATTCATACGTAATTTAAATAAATTTTATTTACATTACACATTTGCATGTAGTCCAAATTTAAAAAGTAATACATCAATTATTAAATATAAAATTTGTATATATTGTATACATAAATATAATATATAAATATTTATTTTCTTTATGCATGTGCACAGGATGAATACTAGTATGATTAAAAGGGAAAATAAATGTGCATATATAAATGGTGTAAATATTCATATATTTTTTTTTTTTTTTT